GGGTTTTCCCCTTTTTCCCTGTGTGAAAATGGCGGCTGTGGTGGGATTCGGATTCCGTCCGTACGACGAGGAGCTGGTCAACGATTACCTCAATGTCATGACTCTCGGACTGACTGAGCTCGTCGACAACGCCATTAGCGAGGTCAACATCTACAGCTTCGATCCATGGGAGTTGCGATGTAAGCACTCTAATTTCCTTACTCGTGATCAGATCGTCCCTAGTTCCTGGGATCATGTTTGTTTTTTCATCCTCGGGTTTCAGTCCAGTCGAGAATTGATACGAGCGGTGATTCTGTGTGGTATTTCTTCTACCGGCTGGAGAATAAGAAGCTGCAGAGCAGAAAAACGAGATCTGGGTTCTGGAAAAAGACAGGACCTACTTTGGATATCAAACGCAGGAGAGGAATTCGTGATAAGATTGGTGAAAAGAAGGTTTTGGTGTTCCATTTAGGCAGAACTCCGAACGGTGTCGGAACTGAGTGGGTTATGCACGAGTATCACACCACGTTCTTCCCTGCTGATCAGGTACTCTTCATCAATTTCTCAGTTTTTCTTTTTGGGGGGTCCTGTTCGATCGATTGCTGCAGTTAAATGTCTGAGTCTGTGCCGAGTTGAAGTGTTCTGCCCTAATATTCGTGTATCTCCGACAGGAACTGCAGTTACGATGTTGTTCCTGTGGTTGCTTCGTGTTTCTGCATGATTAGGTTGAACATTTTCTGGAGCTTGGGTTTATTTAGGATTGTTTGTAATCTATATGCAGAGTTGCATAGTACAACTTTGTTAAAGCTTGGAATTCGCAGTCCATTATAAGGGTTTGAAAACGTTAGTTTGTGATGAAGAATTTATGTGCTCCCCCTTTGAAATTGAACAGAGGACCTATGTTATATGCAAAGTGGAATTCAAGGGTGAAGACTTGGCAATTCCATCTGCTAATGGAGCTGAGCCAAGTCGCTCTTTGAACAATGTTGGAGATTCGAGTACAGGCTCTGTGGTGAGTCGGTTTTCTACTCTTCTTTGCTCTCTCTCATCTCATACATTTTGAAGAAGTTGCATCGATCCACTCGAACTTTGACGTTTCCCCGATCATTTGCCTTGCAGGTTGTCCAACAAGATCACGGAAATTCGTGGCAAGCGGGCCAATCGCAGGGTTCAGAACAGTTTGGTGGCAGCCTTAGCAGGCAGCCACAATCTCCTAACTTGGATTTTGAAGGCATGAGAAACTTTGTTGGGAATCTAACAGAAAAGGAATGGAATCTCCGATTTAAAAACTCCGAGATAGATTCTTACAATGTTATGCAGGAGGATTACAACGGTTACAGGCCACATAAGTCTTTGACAGGTTTATGTTCCGATTGTAGCAGCGACAGTGACGATGAATCATCATCTCCAACTGTAAGCACCTTATGCATAAGAAGAACATTCAGACGTTCGTTTTTCTTTGATCTTTGGACAAACTTGTTGGATTATTTGGCATGACAGGATCACAAAGAAACCAGGGCTTGGAATGTCGATGGTGCTAGTACTACGAATGGACAATGTCAGGCTGAAAAGAAGAACATTCGGACACCAAGTACGGACCATCAGGCAGAAGGGCATCCAAGGCGGTTGCAGTTGCAGGGTAAATACCAAAGGGTGATGATGCCTCCACAAGAAAAGGTTAGCCTCTGGATGAGAAAGAGGGCTCTCCTCTCTGCGTTTATTCATGGGTAGAAACTCAAACAACATGTATGGAGTAGAAAGATGATCGATGCACCATTATGTGTATTTATATACTGATTTCAGGGGGAGAATGATTACATGCAACAGATGGAGAAGGAGATGAAAACGGCTCAAGACACAAGTATCAAGGGAAAATCACATCGTAAGGGATGTCTTGTCTTTGAGGGAGCAACGGACAAAAGTCGAAACAATAAACTCATCAACACCATCGTAGGCTTCATCCTCTTCCTTCTCATCATTCGTGAGCTCACATCCGTTCGCTAAAGCCCTTTTTTTTCTTCTTCTTCTCTGTTTTCTTGCCCATTTTGTGTCACTTCATGTTCATATTCCCTCCCACAAAAAATTTAAAAAAAAATGAAAAACGAAAAAAAAAAAAAAAGTGTAAGTGTGTAAGTGTGTGTGTGTGTGTGTGGAGTTGGTGGATGTTATGTTTGGCGGCGGCTATGGAAAGTAGTGAATGTAACTCATTGTTACTTATTTTATAATATTTAATTATTCCATTAAACACTCCTTCACGTTTCACAATTAATATAGATCAAACGTGACGGATAGTATATATGTACGTATATGCTTAGAGTTTACATGTCACCAATATAAGGATGCCTATTGATCCATATTTTTTTTTTATGAGGTTTCTGTTACTTTGGTCTTTTTTTATTGTAACATTTTTATATAATTGTATATAGTTGTTGTACGTGAACATAAACACACGCACATACACATTATTATTTTTTGATGAAGATACGCATTATTGTTGGAAGCCCTCCCCCCCCCCCCGCTT